CACCAGTATAGCATCTTGTGAATTTTAAGTGGGGCCAACTTAAGCTGGCTGCTGCAGCAAGGAGCGTTTAATGAAACGCGCAGCTCGCTCGCAGCTTGAGTGTGCCCGCTGGTCATAAGCTTTTTCATTCATTTATTTATGAGATAAACTTTTGATTTGTTATAGCTGAAGAGGTTGCGGCCAAGCCGCCTCGCTCGTTCCCAGAAACCAAAAATTTTATTACGCAAATAGTATTAGGGAGGAGAAACAGTTCAGGCTGCCTCCTGCATCCTCACAGACCAATAAACTGAATATAAAATGCGATGTTTGCTTGTGGCCAACGATGGCTTCTTCATTTTCAATGTTTTCTGAATGCTCTCATTGCCACATCTTGAGAATCGCAAGAAAACTTTAAGCAAAAGGAGGAGAAAAGGGCTATGCCGTGCTTGCTCACCGAGACTGTTGTATGCACTTTAATATGATGATGCACTTAATATGATTAATATGATATGTATATACATTATTGTAATTGAATCTTAGATATATAGATATATATCTAATAAATATTTACATTTTCCAGTGCAAATAAAGCAAATAAGTGAAGTTAATATGGCACTGTAATGCCATATGATATATTTTGAGCTATATAATCGAGTAGTAAATAAAGTCTGGCTATGAAACTATACAATCAATAATGCAAAGAGAAAAAAAAAAGTAAATAAAAAATAAAATGATATGTATATATTTGTGGTCAAATGGAAATATCTTGTGTCTATATAGCATAGTCGTATTGCCGCAGACTTCTCAAAAGAAATGCTCATGAGCGACATAATACATTTGTTTATTCAGCTATCTAGAACTAACCTTACGCACAGTCAAAATGCCCTCTTGACAGGGCTTATCGCTGAGTTGCTATCAATGAAACGAAATGCCAACGATGTGAATGTAAGTAAGCCACTGCGTATGCCAGAACTTAAATATTTTCACACTGTCCCGTTAAGTAATATGGTTGGAGATAATGCATGTTGGCTGAATTAGCAAGCGGTAGCTATGTGTTATTTGCGTTAGCTGGGAGCAACAAGTGGGTGGGAATGATTTCAGGTGAGACAAGGTATTTAATATGTTGTAATAAGAGTTTCTGTTGACATTGATAGCTCGCAGTCATATCGTGTAATCAAGTGTTGTTAGATTGGGGAATACAATGCTTCTTTGCTGTGCTTTATTCAGAATACACTTTTCACTTAGGGCTCTATATTACAATTTACATAAATATTTGTATAGAAAAGATTTAACAACAAACATTAAATATTTTATCATATTGTCAACGGAATTTCCGACCTTAAATGCCCCACTTTTCATATTGTCGCTCAACAAATATATATGGGTGTATATAGAACCATATATTTGTTGTCTTGATCGTATTTACTAATCCATCATCGTTCGGAGAGTTGCTTGGAATATGTAGTTGAGCCATTGAACTTATTGGCTAGCAGTGCAAGGATTTGCGGGAAACCTTTAACAACATCAATAAGCCCGCTACAGCTGGACGACTTCTCTTATATTGAGGATCCACGCTTGTCTCCGCCCAGCACGTACTTGTTGAAGGCGGTGTTCAACTGCTCCATCAGTATGAAGGTAAGCACCGTGTGCGGGCCCAGACGGAAGTAGTAAGGCGTGAAGCCCTTCCACAGCGAGAAGATTCCCTCGTGCCGGGCCACCCGGAGTAGCACATCTGTTGTGCCCTTATACTCTGGCTTTCCGTCAACAATCTTCATGTTTTGGATGCGTGTCTTGGCAATATCCAGCGGCATCGATGCTATCGTTGTCAGCAGGCCGCTAAGCATGCTCGCACAGAAGTGCAGTTTGATGCCTTCCTCCATTTGGAGCGGCCCCGTACGGAAGTAGGTCTTGAATTGCGAGTAGCTAGCCAATTGGGTCATGTTCACGACCATGGCGCGACCAACTGTGGGCAAACAGCCGCGCCACAGCGCAGTCAGTCCCTCTTCGCGCGTAATGCGGGCCAGCGCATTTCCCACATTCTTATAGTTGCGTCGCTCCGCCAGGGGCAGACGTCCATCAGAGGTCATGCGAATGAGAGCCACTTCTGCCGGCGTGCCGATGAATGCACCACAGGCGCCGGCCACAGTTCCCATCGCCATGCTGGCCGCCACATTAGGATCGCGATTGAAGCGTGCCCGATACTCCTCATTGAGGTAAGTGTACACACCCAGACGACCAGTGGTGTAGGTTGCTTGCCTCAGCAGTGCTGCTGAAATACCCTGATAGAGGGCGAGGGGTCCTTCGCGGCTGATCACCGTCTGAATGCAGTGGAAGGAGTTACGAAATTCCTTTTTGCCGCTACCCGCTCCAGCGATTTGCATTCGATTCTTGACCAGATCCAGCGGCTGCACGCACAACGTAGCGCCCATTCCACTAGCACCTCCAATTAGATATTTCATACCTTTCGGAGGCGTCACCTTCTTGCTGGATTCCTTATCAGACATATTGCCAGCGACTTTTCCGTTCACTTTCTGATTACACAACACAAAACGATTTGATTAAATGCACTCTGCCCTCTATCGCAATGCTCTCAATTACTTCCAGTTTACAGTTTCCAGTTGCGTTCGCTGCTGTCACTGCACTCGCAAGGCTATTGCAATTTAGCTCCGCTCCCGTCGCTGTTATTGTTGGGAATGTGCAAAAAATTGTATTAAATTTATGCAAGCGCCTGGCTTTAGCTAAATTAATAATAAATTTTGCGTGCGGCCAGAGCGAGCAGCTGATACTGGCGGCGGGTGGCTACATATGTACGTTCAGACACTTCCTCGTTTTATTTTTGCTTTTGCTCACAGACCGTTGTTTTTTTTTCCAACCAACAGCCAATGGCCAACAGCTGCTTTCTCTTTGGCTCTTTGTGAATGTGAATCAATGTCACGGGCGAGTAAGTGTGTGTATGTGTGCGTGTCGTCACAGAGCGCTTCTATTTTAGGCGTCACAATTAGTTCACGTGTTGCACTATTGCATGCCCCAAATTACAGTTTGTTGTGCGACAGCATTTACACAAACTAAAATGTCGCAATTGCAATGGACAAGAGCAAAACCGCGGACAACAATAATAAATTGCATTTTTGTGCTGTAGCTGCTCAGCTGATGACGTGTACGGCGACGGCGCGAGAGAAAAACAGGGTTGTCAAGAGCTTGTGCGGGCGATCGCATTCCATTTGTTAATTACGTATGCAATAAAAAAAATGCTGTTTATTCAAATTTATCAAGTACGATTCTTAAATATATATTCTCCTATTTACATTGCCTTTATATCGTCTTAAAATAATAATTCTCATACATTTTGGGTGAAAGAGCAAAGTGTGTATCGGAACAGTTGACAGCCCTGCATGTACGACGGTGGTTTTTGCCTCTCAGCTGCTTGCTCTTTTCGCGCTCTCTCTCCCTCTCTCTCTCTCTCTTGCTTTATGTCTGTCTCTTTGGTCAAGACGGTGTTGTTAAACACTGAACAGCTGAGCTAGTTTTACGTTCGCTGCTCATACAATTTAGCAGCTAAAGAGAATGCAACTAATTTAGATACACACACCTTCATAGTTAACTAAACATGTGTTTGTATTTAAGAATGTAGGTACATATATGAAGGCACAGTCGTAATTTCTCTTGTTTATATGGCATCTTACATGCATGCATTTACACACACAAGGCAGGCATTCATTATCGGCTTATCGAGCCGCGCAATAAAAATGTTTGCCAAATTTTTATCATAATTGCTCTAATCACCTATGTAATCTATATGTATGTACATAGATACTGATTGTGTGTAGTGATATTTTTGGTATTCTACACAGCTCTTTGCTAATTAAACGTGTTGTGATATTATTCTGTAGACATGCATAAAACATGTGTAGCTGCCTAAGGTACATAAGCATGCTCAAAAAGGTTACTGCGAGCTTATTTAATTATCATACCTTATACTTTTAACACGATTTAGATCTTTTAGACGCTTGGGTAAATAAACAAACTCCAAAAGGAATACAAATCATACAAAGAGGTATGCATGGCTCCGTGATACCACGTATGTATGTATGTATGTATGTATGTATGCATGTAAGTTATGTGAAATTACTATATATTATATTCAGTTTAATATATTACATACACACCTACATATGTACATAAACATTTCGAATAATTAATCAAATATAAAGATCCTGTATCAAATATATTAATCGATACATTTTTTTTTCCGTATAAATAAAAATAAAATAGAGTTTTTATGAATTTCTCTAATTTAATATGATATAGTCTTAGCAGATCAAAATTATATAATACCTTGATTGCCAAAAGCATTTCTCACTTTTAAGGAGGTTGTGTATAATAAACGGATTTATTGATCAGAATAACGCTATTAACTGGCAATCATTTACAGGACTTACGCATTCTTTATTTCATATGAAATTATCATTATGCCAAAGCCATATTGTGTGTGTATATCGGGCTCGTATCGCTTGGCAGCATTCAATCATGCTGCGTCTCAGCATTTATCCAACAAGCCGTATTTCGCGCATTCGCGCTTTATTCAATCAGACTCGAGACTCGACAGATTGCCTGTCGCTGGGCTGGCATTGAAGCTGAAGCGATTTCAATTGAATTTAAGCGATAACGGCATTTTTCTGCTTTTGCGAGGGATTTTCGTGTTTTTTACAAGAAATTGAGGACGCACAAGGACAAGAGCAGAAATAAGAGCGCACAGTGTAAGCAATCAGACGATGGCCCAGCATCCAAAGAAGCGGCACAAAACACAAAAACTCTGGAACTGTCAGACGGGGTGGCTCCATGGATAAAACTACTCATACAGTGCCAAAGGCAAAAGGCCGGCAGCCAGCGCCAGCGCCAGCAGCAGCAGTAGTTAATATGGTCGCGAAGGCGGCAGCTCCTGTCACAAGCACACACTTACAAACACACTTACACACACACACACACACACACACACTCACACTTGGTCTCCATACACATATGCATTCAGTGTGAAGGACATTGTGAGTGAAATTCAATGCTTGGATCTTTTGGATGAGGCGCACTGAGGTTGATGCACGTGCTAGTGGCATACGTAGGACTATTATAGACAAAATTATATCCCGCATATAATATTATATTTTAAATTATATTTATGCATGTAATGAAATGTAAAACTTTAAAGATCTATCTTATATACATACCTTAGCTTAGCTTTTAAAATTTGTATAACAAAGAAAAATGTGTAGGTTTTTTTTTTTGCTTATCACATCGAATCAAATCTTGCAGTAAATAATTACATATAAGCTCGATTGACAGAGGGTAGACTTTATAGAATCGATTCGCAAATCAAATACCCAAAAATCAATTGAATTTCTGTTTCAAATTGTTTAAAACAGGATTCAATGGGGGGTGCTTTAAATAGTTTTTCTCAACTCTGAATTTATATAGCTTTGCTCGATGTGCTAACATCGTTCAGCTTAGCCTTGAGGACCACGGAGAGCATCGCCATCAATACATGTTGAGCGAACGGCTTGTCCTTATTCACCTAGTGGCCTGCCCCATCAGTCAAGCGACGCTGGCTGGCCAATCAATAAAATTTCACGCTACTGTAATCAAAGCATGTGATATTAGCGTAAAGTTGAATGAATCCATGTGCGGCATCGTCTCTGCCCGATCAGACCAAGCCACAGCCACTGGCACTGGCAATGGCAGCCAATGGGCCAAAACCAAGTTCCAAAACAAGCCAGACAAACGAACTGCCATCGAGGTAGCCCGGCAGCCGTATGGCTTTCCTGTGGAAAGCTAAATTGATAAGGTCGCGTTCGTTATATCGAGACCCCATCATCGCTGAGCTTGCAAAGCCGAGGTGAATCAACAGTTCGTCGGCCGGCAGCCGCATCACTTGCTAATTTTAACGGTGTGCAAGCGTCGCAGAGGGGTAAGAAAATAATAATAAAAAACATTAAAAAAAAAAAAAAAAAAAAAATCATAATAAAAGAGAGAAAAAAATCAGTCATATACCACCGAGTTTCACCAGACAAGTTTCATTTGCATCTTGGGAAATTTATTTTTGTTCAACCCGTTTAGTGATGCGTTATGGCAAATGCCGCTGCCTCACCCAATCCGGATTGGCAGGTAAGCTGCGGCTTTGGCCACGAAATTTGGCAATGACAAAGATACGGGCTTAAATCGACTGGAAGATTTCTGGTGCGTGGCGAACGAGTTATTGAATTCGCCTCTCTGCCAACTCTGAGTCAGTCAGGGTATATTCTTGGCATGGAGTGCCCCAAGCAAGTATCCTTGAGCTATAGGCAAAGGTCGTATTTCGCACGAGAAACTAACGAATCTATTTTGTATTCCTTGGCACAGGCGCTGACTTAAAGTTCTGTTTAGAGTTGAGCAATCGCAAAGGCTGCAGGAGTCGGCACTGGCAACTGGGCACAGAGACTCTCATGCCTTATATAATATGCAGTTTCAGTATATTTTCATTAAATGGTTTGCTAATTGCAGGTATCAAGTGCTCAGAGGAGCTTAAAAGTATTCAAGTATTTCATTTATATTATTTTATTAAAATGTTTTCATTTTACTATAGTTCTCACAGTCTCGAGTATTTACAGAGGATTGCTGTTCTTATATATTAAGACTTGCAATTTAAGATTGAATGTGAACTCTTAACCTTCTATTTTCGACTCATTCAATTCAGCAGTTATTATTATTCAGCTAACTATTCCCACATCCCTCACAATGCCATAAATCATTTTCAGCTAATATACATAAGCATTTTTAATTATTTACATAGAATTCTGATATATATTCAGTTTTCAGTCGTTTCGAGTTCTAGGAAATATTCCCTTCGCTGACTGCGTCTGCTTGCTTTATTTACAGACGCATATCGCTGGCTTGCAGTCTCCTACAATGTCCTTAAGTTGACCTTTAGGGATCAGCCAGCAGCAATCCGCAAAAAACTGTCATACTCCACTGGCCTCAAATTGCTTTGCAGTGGAGCAGCTAAATTGTTGCCTGGCAGCTCCGCGCGGCAATTTGCAATATGCAAAATGCGACAAAATAGTTGAGGCCAGTTATACGCCCAACCGGTTGACAGTTCTTGCTGTGTAAATAAACATTTAGCATTCCATTTGAGTTCGGTTGGCATGGCCGGAGAAGCTGCTGGAAGAAGGAGAAGAAAAATTCAGCAAAGGATCTGAGAGGAGCAGCCAATTGGCGTGGGGCTTGTGGCACGGGCTTCAGCAGTTAAGCCTGATTGTGAACTAAACACGCTAATGGCATTATAATTATCTCTGGGGCTCTCACTGCTCACTCCGATTACCTGGCCGGCACATCCCGAATGCAAATTAAAACTTTGCACAAAACTTTTCCACGCCACTTTAAGTCTGCTCGCTGCAAAGCGCTGGAAAATTGCACTGCGGTCACCGCCGCCGAAACACATTTAACCCCCTCTGGGCGACCCGCCATTCGCCAACCCATTGGGACACTCGCGAAGCGCCGCGTCGCGTCCACCAGTTGGGCGAGATCCTTTACATTAACGTATAATCAACATTAATGGAGCTGACAATGCGCTTCCGGAGACACGGACGCGGACACGGACACAATACAAAGCCCCACACAGTGGCAGACTACGAAGCGCGCGGAGGGGAGCCGCAAGAAATGACACAGTTGTTGTGTCTGCTGGCCAACCGAGTGAAAGTGGTCCTTATGTTTAGCCAGTGCTCCACTTAGTCCAACATGGGGATTACATTCGCATCAGCTCAATGAGAAATTATGCGACGAAAGAAGCTTTTGTACTTGTGCTGTGTTGTCCATGCCATGCGCGATTCAGTTATCCGGTTATTCGACCCTCCGTGCCCCAAATTATAGCCTCTTTATTGGTTTATTGTATAAAAGTAGCTTCACTTGGTTTATCACTAAATGCATATTTACTGGCTGATCCACTGGAAGCCCTCAGCAGAGCTGCGTGTCAGCTAGACCAGGTTCAGGCCAACATTGCGACGTCAACTCAGGTCTCTGAGCAAGCCTGACAATTTATGGCTGTGTGCGTGTGGCCATATAAATTAAAAGCAGCTCAGACTCGAGCCAAACAACCAAACCACTTTGAGCTGAAATATCTGGCTGTGGCTTCAGCTTGTTACTGAAGTCAGATTTAGATAAAAAGTTGAAATCTGTTGCGGCTGCAACTTGATGTGGCACTTTCTCCATAAATGTGGCCAGCCCGACCACTATCTGCTGCTGTCTGCAACTGAAACACTTTTGCTTTGCCATTCCTTTCGTCGTCTTTTTCCCCGGCGAACGACAAAAACAAAGCAAAAACCAAGAGGCATTCAGCACTCTGAAAGGCAGAAATGGGTGGCACCGAGCAGAGCCTACAAAATTAATGGTGCTAATGCCAAGTGGGTCTAGGCGAGTGTGTGTCAGTGCGCCCCAGCCTGGTCAACTCAATTCTGTGGCAAACGTCTTGTTACCTAAAACCACTTTGCAATATGAGCAGCAGCAATCCTTAGCCGACGGAAGTGTGCTCCTGACTTTCAAGTGTTGTTGGTTGGGTTTATCAAAAAAGCTAAAGCCAAAAATAAAAATAGCCAAAACCAAATCAAAGGGGTGTATTAGCTTAGTATAGTCGGCTCATTGGCATTGGAGTAAAGCGAAGGCCAAGTAACCTAGTGGGAGTCAAATGGAATGCAGTTAGCAAACCAAAAGTTTATGTTAGACTAAAGTTAAATTTAATACGATAAATAGATATTAAAAAGGTTTAAATATAAATAAGTATTAAAGTTTAAATTGCAGTCGATTGGAAGTAGGTAAATCAAAAGTTTGTATTGGATTAAAGCTTAATATGACAAATCTATATGATAAATATTTAAGTACAAATATGTATTAAATTCCCTAGTGATAGTTATTGAGTTTTAGTAGACTTGAGTTTATACAACTTGGATCAAACTAGTCAGAGTTTTAAGTAGTTACAAAAGTTGTTTTATTCCCACCATAAAAGTGTCTCACACACTTCATTGAATTTAAGTGCAGCCAAGTCTTCAAAGCTGGACAAATATACTTACATTCCACTTGAGAGAGGTATTTTCGTGTTCAAGCAGTCGCTGGCCGCAGACTCATCTTGATTCTAGGCTACATTCTGAATCGACAGACAGTTGCTGTCGTCATTTCCAGCGGTGATTTATTATGCAGCAAGTTTTTATGCCTGCTCTGGGCGGGTCTAGAGGAAGAAATTTGCCACTGGAAATTTGTCGGTTCACTAGGCACAATACGTGATTGATAACCCCCTAAACAAACGCCAGGGGCAACGGTTGGGTTAAATGTTTCCGAGTGGATCTGCCAACTAGTCAAATATTTGATTCCGAGACCTTGACCGGCATTAGTCATATAAATTGGCAAAGCCCAGCAAAGCAGAAGAAACACAAAATTATATAGAAATATTTGAATTATAATTGACATATTAAATGTATGTATTTATTGACCTCATCTGACCACATCTCACTTCACGACATCTCACTTCAGTTGGTATCTTAAGTTCGAGTTTTTATATTATAATCAATAAAGCATATTCCTCATAATTGTAAGGCAGAATCTGCAAAGAAATAATGTGAATAGTGAATGTAATTTCTAGAATAAAATTAGTTGTTGGAATTATAATTTGTGGTGGACTTTTAATGATACAAGACTATCATACTATATTATAAAAACGAAAAGTTTTTGTAGTTATTGTAATTAATGCTTAACAAACATATACGTATCCATATTCAAATTTTGGAGTATTTAAGTATTTCCTCTGAGTTTTTAATGCTTAACTCAACGATCACCCACTAATCTTCACTTCACTTCTCTTCAGTTCAATTCACTTCACTTTACTCGAATTTACTACTTTGTTCTAAGTATTTTGTCTACATATTTCTTCTAAGTATTTCGTTTCAGTCCTTAATGCCCAGCTAAACGATCACCCACTTTACTGTAGTTTACTGCACTGCACGACTGACATCCATCAGACCTGGACGACTGAAGAAATGATGCAGCAGCTGCCCTTTATATAGGGCGACTCTCTCAGCCTTAGTCGCGCTCGTTGCAGTCGAGGCTTGTGTGACCAATGGGATCACTCTCTGATGCTCTGCTACTGCTTCAGCTCTCTACATATAGACACTTTAAATGATCCTCTCTAGTTCTTCATTCTTTGCTTTTCATAGTCAGACAGAGAGAGAGAGAGAGAGAGAGAGAGAGAGAGAGAGAGAGGAGAAAGAAAGAGAGAGAGAGAAAGGTAGTGAGAGAGAGAGAGACAGAGAGAAGGAGTGAGAGCGAGAGAGAGAGAGAAAGAGAAAGAGAGAGAGAGACAGAGAGAGAGAGAGAAGCACAGAGTGAGAGAGACAGACAGACAGAGAGAAGGAGTGAGAGCGAGAGAGAGAGAGAAAGAGAAAGAGAGAGAGACAGAGAGAGGGAGTGAGAGCGAGAGAGAAAGAGAGGGAGAGAGAGAGAGAGAGAAAACCGAAGAGACAGACTGTGGTATAGACAGGGAGACAGACAGATATTAAGACAAACGCATGCGTGCGTACGTGTGTGTGTATGGGAATGCGCAGTTTCTTGTGTAAAGCAATGAAGCAAATAGTTATTGAAAGATCAATACTTCGAATGCTTCAGGGGATCTCGTAGTCGAGGGGTCTCGAATAATGCTGCCTTACTTGTTTCATATTAAACAATAATAATAGTAAAAGTCTTATAATCATTTTACAATTTCCTCTTAATATTGAACTATTCTTTAAAGACAGAGAGAAGGCCAATGGCTTTCCCAGACAGACTCAGAGTCACATTTATAGTGTATGCCGATGGCGTTGAACTGTACATCTAATTTGTATATAAAATGTGGCCAGCGCCTCATTATGACTATTATTTCGGTCAATGTATTTATAGTCGCGCAAGTTAAATCTACTGGGACTTAAGGGCATGACATTTTGTAGAGCGAAACGCACAAAAATGAGGCCAAGCGGCTTTAACGGCTGCCAAAGTAGACGACCATAAGGTCATTGCGGGGGCGGGGTGTGAGGGCGAGGGGCAGACAAGCGCAGCTGCAAACAATGGCATTTTAAAAGGCAAGGGCGGGAAAAACTTCAGCGTATATGAGGCAGGCAGAAAGCAAGACTGAAAGACAACATGACGTTTGCGACGCCCACGCACACCGACACGCACGCACGGCACACACAAACACACACACGCGCACATGGCGTATGCGTAATAACATTTTGCGTTACATTTGTTTTTTCCTTTTTATTGCATACCGCAAGGCGGCTCGTCTGGCTTGGCTCCTTTGTATTTCCGTTCCGACCAAAACGCCACATTCCCGGCTAACGTCTCTGTTTATTTCTGTTTCAGTTTATGTTTCAGTTTCTGTTTCAGTTTCAGCTTCTGTTTCGGTGGCTATTGCCCTTTGCCTGCCGCAATTTCCGTGTCATGTGGCACAGCGAATGTAAATGCCGCACAACAAATGCGAAAACTTTAAACTGCCCAACAGATGGGTATCGCCACAGCCAAGCGGCTCTAGCCGCTAGCCCTGATGCTTTCTTTTCCTGGCATTATCGCACATAATAATTCCGTAAGTCATACGTAAGGCACTAAACGGGGCCCATGTGCCTTGGGGCGCTTGCCAAGCTGCACGGGCCCCACTCACAAATGGAATACCCTACACGCTTCCCATACGAATAATTCGATCTTTGGCCAGCCTATGGCGCTCAAGTGTAGCGCACAACGGGACAGCAATCAGTGGAGCGACAGAAAGAAAATGCGACGCCAGCAGCGGGAAATTGTGTCATTTTCATTTATCTGCGCGTGTATTTGTAGCTGTGTGTGTGTGTCTGTATTTATGTCTCTGCTCGAACTTCATTGAATATAACTGCGAGCTGAACAGCAAATTCGCCAGCAGCAACAGCAGCAGCAGCAGGAGCAGCAGAGCTGAGGCGGGTGCCAATAAAACGGAAGCCGCGATTAAATACAAATAAGGCATTAAGTGCAAAGGCGCTGAGGCGCATAATACAAATTGCGACGCTTGCTAAGCAAGCGCAGGAAGGAGTGCTGCTCGGAGCAGACACTGTGGCGTTCGAAAAGAAGGAGGCGGACGCAGAAGCCGGAGGACATATTGAGAGTGTCGCACAAAACTAAATAAAAGGCTGATGGCTTTCACCTAATACCCTTCTCCAATTGATTATATTAGCTTTTAAGGCAGACATATATAAATTTAATTTGATTTTTGTAATTAAATGAGATTATGTGTGTGTCTAATCTCTATCTGTGATTTAACTCAATTATAATCCGCGTAGTACAAAAGTACCCAATTTATGATGCAATTAAAAAAATAAATATGTATATATATAAATACTCATATATAGAAAGAAAAATATATTTTTTTAAATATACTTATGTCTAAAAAACATAAATAATAGTATACTTGCATACTTCTGCCTAAGCTTGACTCTAGCTAATTCAGTGAATTCAATGCACATTAAAGTTCCAGAATGATTTTCCACGGTTACCATCAGGCAATAGTACAGCCTGTAAGTAGGCAACGATTTTTTTGTTAGGCAAACTTTTTATTGGCTGGACAAGGAAGCTGTGCTACATATACATACATACTATATATACATATATATACTCTTTTATACTGTCGCTGGACGCGCCTGTACGACACAATAAAAATGCTGGCTAAGGCAAGTTGCGCCCTAAGTGAGAATTAGCATAGAAACGAAGAGAAGCAGAAGCAGAAACAGATAGATGGCAAAGTGAAAGATAAAAATTGAGTTTAATGGTCGTTGGGCTTGGGCTTTAAAATTTGTATGAATGGAGCAAGCAATTTGCGTGCCATCCAATTTCGAAGAGTGCCAAGGTTAGCAATGATATCATATTCTATGCTCATATTTAGATATTCATCTCAATCGCTCTCCACTCGCCCTGACTCGAATTCGACTCGACTCGACTTGACTCGACTGGAGAGAAGCTTCTCATCTAGTGCTGCAGCAGCTGCTGGGGCTTGGTTAGCTGAACCGTTTTGCGGTTCATTTAATAATTCTGCTTCTTATTTACCTGGACAGCCAATTTTGTGTGTTCGGCTTTGATGCGTCGACAAGTGGCCGCTTAGCCTGCGGCCAATGGCATTAGCCATTAGCCAAACTGCGGACCAGAGCAGACCCGACCCACAGACCGGGCCGCCTTGACTCGGCACTTCAGCGAGCTAACGAGCTGCCATGGCAATTAGAGACGCCCACGTAGAGTTCGACTCTACATTGCAAATCATATGACTGCCATTTTTCCATTTCAAATTTATTTTCATTCTCATGCTTTGCTTCTTCTTCGTTTTTTCTTCTTTTGCTCGTCCTCTATTTTTTGCACCCAATTTTGATTAGCAAGAAAACTCGCGACGTCAAAGTATTTGCCCAGTCAGCGCGATGTGAATAAGTCAATGATCTACGTGTTGTTGTTGATGCTGCTGATGATGGTAATCATGATGATCATCATAAATTGGCTTTTTCAGGTGTCTGCAACTGTGAGTATGTGTGTGTGTGTGTGTGTGTTTGTGTGATTGTGTAGTAAGTGTCAAGTGCCCCGACACGGCTCAACTCAATGACTCGGCTTGCTTTCAATAATATTTATGCACTCGGCTTGTGTGCGAGTTCAACAGGGCATACATTTCCAATTAAACTGAAGCATTCAACTATAGCAACCGACATGCATACACCCACTTACCCACCCACCCATGCACACACACACAGACACAACAATCACTTCGATTTTTTTCGCCATAGAAAATTTTTTTTGGCCGTGAATTTTAGTTAAACTATTTTTGGGGTTAATGTCAGCAGCATATGTAGAGAAGAATTCGTTAGCAGATAATTGAAATAATAAAATACGAAATAAAAGAGTCGAAAGCAGCTGAAAGTGTAGATAAACCGAGACCTATTCAGCTGCGTAAAAACTCTAGCTAAGCAAGCCAAGAAACTAATCAGAGAGACCAATACTTAGGTCAATGTTGGTCATGCCAGCCCTCTGATTACTACCTTCATGTCAAATTTGTAGAGGAGCCTCATCTCAGGCTGTGGCATGCAAGTCAGGGCAGCAAAGGCCGAATGGTTACCGTTGATGCCAGCGTAGTAGCTGGACTTCATTAGAATTGGCGGTGAAATCGAATCGCCACAGACTTTGAAATGCTTAGGCCATGCATAGGCAAACAGCTCATGTCAAATGGAGAGAGAGAGAGAGACATGCGACAGATGCCACAGTCCCACAGCAGAGTTGTCCATTTTCAGGAATTCACGTCACCTGAAGCAACATGTTTATTCGTGTGCTCGCGGTCTGTGCGTTGCCCGTGTCTGTGTGTTTGATCGAAAAACAATTTTGCATATTAAATGAAAAACGTCAGCAGCGCTCATCAACGTTGGCCAGGAGGAGCTCTTAACTGATTTCCGTTCAATACATGCAGCTGGCGAGCACAGAGACATATCCTCTCGACAGTCGTCAAATTTATTCGGAAGTTCATCAAATTCCTGTTCCCGTTCCTGTTCCTCTTCACTTATGCAGCATGCAACAGTTTGTGAAAGC